CAACTAAATCTGGAGACTTGTAAACAAAATGACGTCACAACTCGTGCTAAAATTTTTTGAATTTCTAGAGAAATACGTTTTTGGAACAAATTTAACCGTGATATTCTTATTAATGCCAATAAACTACACATTCTTAACATTAAAATTTTTTCGTGTCATATACACTTTAAAAGATTTATTAAGCAGTGGAGTCCTGTAATGTCAAACTTTGGATCCAAAAAAAATTGGAAGGTTTAGATATCCAGGGTAAAATATAATGAGTCATGTACATGAATACCACTATTATACCACTTATCTCTAATTTGAGGCYGTGTCTCATTTAGGACTTGCAATATTACAAATCACCTCCATTTCTATTCAGCCACATCCTTTTTAGCCTGTTTTGGTTTTGTGAGGGTAGTACATCTACATGTACTTAATAGTCATTAGCTAACACACCTGTGGCCCTCTATTCTCTATATCTATTCTCCTCCACAGCCGTCATAAGTTTGGTCCTAGATCCTCATGGTCCCTCAATGAAGGCTAACAAGAAGACTACCCCATTCCATGAATGAATTCCGAAGTTAGAAATTAATTTTTGCAGAGTAGGAAAAACTGGTAAACCTGGAGAATAAGGTCCTCAAAGCCCAGGAGAGAACTAAGCAATTTCACTTAAATACGACACTCAGTCYGGAAATAGAACCTGCCAATCTTGGGGAGAGGTGAGTACTCTTACTACTACTAYGCCACATATGCTTCCCTTACCCTTTTCTTGGTCTCCGGGAGGTTTGAGAAAATGGGACTCCACTGTATAATGTTGCTTACTTATGCTAGGAATTATTATTTTCTAAACTTGGATCGGCAATAGCAAACTTCTTTTCACAGGTGAATGATATAGTAATAGCAAACCTTGTACCTTTTGTAACTTTCTCTACAAAATGCACATTTTCTGAGCCAGATGTGAAGAAAGACAGTCTACCTGTCTTTGGTTCAACTGTGTGGTTAGAAGCCTTATCAACAAACACAAACCTCCCCCCAGTGAAATTCCTGGAATAATCTGATAGATAAAGTAGCGAYGTGTAGTAGAATGACCCATATGTTTTCTTATCTACATGTTGGTGCCAGTACTCATCGTGTATCGTCTTGGCAGGCTTTGCTTTCATGCGAGAGAAGAAAGTTGGTTTAGTCAAGTAGAGTTTATCCTTATTAATGTTGAACTCTCTAGCAATAGTATTGTGGACCTTATTCTTCACTTGTCGATAGATATCAAAATCTTCCTTCTTGAATAATGCTCCTTTGCCTAGCTTTTTAGCTATAGTATAAATATTAACAAACTTGTCTTCATATGTTAATGCACCCGTGTGAAGATCAAGGATGGTCGGACCTCCAGAAGGCTTCCCATGTTTCATTCCTTTCTTCGCTAGCTTCACCAAATGCGTAGCTTCTTCTAAGCTCACAACACCATCCATCACAATACGTCCACATTTCTTAGGGACGCAGTCCTTGAACTGTTTTCCATAGTCGTTAGAGCACTTGACATCCATGTATCGTCGAGGGATAGTTTCACTCACACTAGCGAAGGTACTTTCGCCTGATTCTTCAAGATACCACTCCAAAAAGAAATCTCGCGCACAAACGAACCCAGCAATCAATGCGACAGCAATGGCTATTCTTGGTAAGATCTGGACTCCTTCGATATCTTTTGCTTTTGAAATTTTAGACGCTGAACTGATTCCTTTCTTAGAAGAAGAACCAGGTTTACCTTTCTTTTCTTTGTTTTCTTCAGATTTGGATTCCACGCCATTTTGGTCTATCTTTTCAGGTTCTTTCTCCTTCCCTCGCTTCCTTTGGACGACAGGCATGGTAAAGCTCTTCAGAACGGCTTCTAAGGAATCTTTTACTTCGAGATTTAGGCTAGAAATAATTTATGAAACAAAACCTTTTATTCTTTTGGTTCGTCCGCCATGTTGTTTTACCCAGCAAGCATTGCGGTGCTGGGTTTGCTAATTAGCATATTTTGATTCAAATCAAGTCCCTCACGGTCCTATATAATGATTACAACCATCATATACTGATCTTGCTTTCATTTTCTTTTCCTCGTCAAATTTCCTATTGATAGATACTTCGGGCAAATAGATGGCGTAAAAGGAATGGAATTAATGGATCGACTGCTGAAATAACACAGGGAACCCAATATGATCAAAGGAAAAATACAGGAATCCCCTCCGAGCTTGTTCCAGGTTCAACAAAAAAGGTTAAACGAAGAAAATTAACATAAGATCAACGACATTATTCTTTATTCATTTTTTTTTTTACGCAAGCTAGAGGGAATGCTTTATGATTACTACATGTATCAATGCCTATGGAACATGAAAATTACTCTGTCGCAAACTGATATTCAGGTCTTTACAATAACCATTCTTTATCTAGGAATTTTCGTCTTACATCTAATATAAAAGCGCTAAAAAACTGTACATTCTTTAAACTTTCTGTCTGCTTTAGTCGTCTGGTTCAGTTGTTTGTCTTGTTTTCTTCAATTTTCTCTCTGGCTTGAATTTATCGATTTTTCGTTTTCTGGTCTCTCTTTTCGTCAAGTTTCGCTTCATTTTACGTCGTGCATTCATTGTTGGGTCCGCAACAGCCTGGTAAAGAAAACCACACAAATGATTAGTAAAAATATGAAGATTACTGCACATGAGGAATACTTATGCTGGCTAATAGTCGCGGCTGTCAAATAGTCGTTGTCATTGGGAGAATTACTAAAAGACAAAGGAAAGCCATTTGAATGTTACGCCATGTCGTACCGTGTCCGTGCGTCTCCTACTTAAACGAAAGGCGCTGCAAAGGCTTCAAATTTTTTATCATTATTGAAATTTAGAGCTTTTTCATTGCAAAATACTTCAAAATACTTTTTTCACTAATAAGATGCTTTCRATTTCAAGATACGAAGCATTTTAAAGTTTGTTTGCCATCCAGCAGAGTCTTCCCCAAGGGACCTTTGTCTGAAGTGATTCGTTATGGAAGTGATATATCAGCACGTGACTGTTTGTTGCAAATGTCTATTGGATATAAGACTTTAGGGTAGTTTGCAATGAAAATCAAAAGCACCTGGTTATCTAATCTTTGGAGTATGATTAGGATATTATATTCTGATTACCTCAAGGGCTCGCTTTTTTCTTTTTTTCTCTTTGACATCTGTGACGTCTCTCTGAAGCTCGGAGTAAACACGTGACACGGCCTCACGTCCCACAATGCTTTTCACTAGATCCAGTACTTCCTGGGTCGTATGTTGGAGCTCGGGATCTGGAACAATGATGAAAAACAAACWCTTGATCAAATCAATCGAACTTATTTTCCACGCATTTATTTGATCTGGAAGTGAAAATGTTTATTACCTTTATAGGTGGTGCTGATATCTAGTTCTCGATGTAATGGTTGCAGTATATCCCTTAGATAAGGAATGACGGAATCCTTCCCAAGAACCGTAGCGACGGCGGCTATCCAGCGCATGACACAAGACCGCTGTACAGGAATAAAATGAGTTTTAATTAGGAAGCAAAAAAGATCCTCTCCACAAAATATTTAATCACACACCTTTTGAGTTTTCTTGGGAGTCTGTGATGCTTCGTGTGTTGCAAGTCTTTCTAATTTATTAAAGAGTGACTTTAAGGTAAACTCGTCCCCATTCTCCTCACTGCTTGATTTGGCCGAGTCATTTTGAGACAAGTGATTACCGTTGTCATAGAGATATAAAAACTTTGAAATAAAAACTAAGTTCTTGATTATCTAAAGAAAATAATAATAAATGAAAGGTTAATTTAAAAATTTAATACGGTACAAATCAATCATGTAAAAAAACGCTGTCTTTAGTTAATGCAGGCTACGTAGCTTATGCTTTGGGTGCATGTTACGTCATAGCCGCCATGTTGGTTTACGATAACAAAGCATTCCTCATCAGCTTCTCTTGTTGGATCAACCAACATTGTGGCTGTTTCATTGTTTTTTATATCTAATGGGATTTTGAGTCATGTGGTTGAAGCCCCAAGAATTGTGGTGTTCAAAATTTTGTTCAGAGATTGTGGTACTTACTTGATCACCGAGCTCTTTCTCCAGGAATGGTGATTCCAGCTGAAGACAAAAGTTATCACACAGGTGTATGATCTAAAATGATAAATAAACAGAAATACTTTAGAAGAAAAAAATATGTTAAAAACATCCAAAATTATTTTTTAGATAAAAAAGACGAAAGAAAGAAAGAGAGAGAGATATATGGTTGGCATTTTATTCACCTTGTCTCTGGTTCTGATGGCCAGATAATCTGGTATTTCTGGAATTGCTTTCTCGTTTAGATCCTCTGGTTTCCATGCAGCAAACAGCAGCCCAAACAACCGGCACGAAACAAGACGAATCCAGGCATGAGGATGAAGAAGATGGTTCTCGACTGACACTACATGGGGAAAATAATGTTATTATAATTGCTATGCTTATTATCGTCATCATAATTGCTATCATCGACAATAGCATCAATCACCATCACCATCATCAACACCATTACCATTATCATCACCATCACCATCACCACCATCACTGAAAAGCATTTATTTCATCATCATCACTATGATCATTACTATCATCATCACCAACGTCATCCTTTATAGCATCACTGTCACCATCAYATTATCATTACCATTATCATCTTTACCATCGCCATCACCAACACCACCACTATCATCACTATCACGATCATTACCATCCTCTATAGCATCACTGTCTTACTCATCATCATCATCATCGCCAGTACCATCACGATGATCACCATCATCTTTCCCATCGCCATCACCATGCAACACCACCACCATCATCACTATCATGATCATTACCATCCTCTATAGCATCACTGTCTTCCTCATCATCATCATCATCATCATCACCAGTAGCATCACCATGATCACCATCATCTTTCCCATCGCCATCACCATGCAACACCACCACCATCATCACTATCACGATCATTACCATCCTCTATAGCATCACTGTCTTCCTCATCATCATCATCATCATCATCATCATCATCACCATCACCATCGCCAGTGTCATCACCATAATCACCATCATCTTTCCCATCGCCATCACCATGCAACACCACCACCATCATCACTATCACGATCATTACCATCCTCTATAGCATCACTGTCTTCCTCATCATCATCATCATCACCATCACCATCACCATCGCCAGTATCATCACCATCGCTATCACCACTTTTACCATTACCATAACTATCATTATCATAATCATCGTCATCATCCTCAATAGCAACGAAAGATACGAATTTCGACTAGTGGAAAGTTCGAGGCATACATCATCTTATACGATACTATAAGTAACCGTACCCCATATAGAATCCATGTCTTYCTTGGTCTTCACTTCCCACACAAGCCTACTTTCTTGAAGTATCTTGGCCAGGGTAGTCAGAGCATTGAACAACAGATGATCCAGACCTCTGTCAGACGAGCTGATGTCATTCCTTGATTCTTCCTCTTGTTCCTCCTATAAAACAACGAAAACAAAATGACGGTGATGATAATAATGATGATGATGACGATGTTGCTGCTGCTGCTGCTGATGGTAATAAGATTGTGGCGTTCAAGATGATGATAATGGTAATGATGGTGATAATGATAATGGTAATGATGGTGATGATGATAATGGTAATGATGGTGATGATGATAATGGTAATGATGGTGATAATGATAATAGTGATGATACTTTAAATGATGATGATCAGATAGTAATGACAATGTTGATGACATAAATAAATGATGTAATGTGATTGTATGACAAGGGATTTCATTTCCCAAGGGAAAAAGTTTTTTAATAGCTTTGCTATACAACATGGGTGCGATGAAACCAGTCAATGTATGTAAGTCAAACATGAAACCTCTCTACATTAATCCACTGATTATTCAGTATTTACCACATCGTAATGTTCTGGTTTGATCATCTCAGATATCAGAGGCAGTGTCGTTGGTAGTCTTCTGTCAAATGCTTTGCCTTCAACTTCGACAAACTGGCCACAAACTTGTGCTGCTAGTCTTCGAAGTATAACCTAGAGAAACAGCAAACATAACTCAGTGGACCTGATCCCCATAGGTGAAAGAGTCTCAGTGAATAGCACTCTCTTTATAGCTTGGAATTAGTTGGTTTAAACATTAAAGAGAGCGTAAATTGCTAAATAAGTGCACCTTCTTAATTTTGGTAACCACTTAACCCCCTATTCAAATCCGCCCAAAGGTTTCTACAGTTCCAGACCATGTGTCATTCTCTTGAGTGTCATTCTTTTGTTTTCCGTTTGTTCTTACCTTGTCATTGGTGAACCATTCAACCACCATACGGAATAGGATATCACGACGCTCTAAGTCAAGCTGTTGATAGATGGAGGATATGAGAAGATATGATGAATAATGGTTAACACTGATCATCATCATAATCAATAATTTTATCATTAGCAATGGTTAAATAGTTATCTGGGATATCATCTGCATTCTCATCACAATTAGCATCACCACCCTCATCACCACCATCACTATCATCATCATCATTACCCCTCTACACCATCATCATCGTCATTACCATCATTACCATCATTACCCCTCCACACGATTATSACCACCACTCTCACCTTTTGCAGCAGTGTCTTAATAGCTGTTGCAGTTGATTTACGACACACAGCTGAATCATCGTTTACGAGTCTTGTAGTCAGCGGTACAAAGAAGAACGACGCGTACTCAAACAAAAGAGACTGGAACGAGAAAAATCCTGCATCAAAACAACAACCTGACTACTACGTCATGGACGAAGACAAATAAATAATTGATTGTTATCAATTGATGGTTTGCAAGATCTCCCCGTCCAAAAGAGTCTAATAACATAGACATGGCGGCCATGTTGCCTATTACCACCAACATGGCGACCATGACGTGAGATGCAAGCCTAACATTCCCAAGGGAATTAAAAGACAAAGACATGGCGGCCATGTTGGAGGTATTAACAAAGGAAGCTAATGACAAGCTTGTCATACCACCAACATGGCCGCCGCGATGACGTAACATGCAAACGAACAATAACCATGTGATCGTTACCTCAGGGAATCCATTGAAGATTGACGTCATCATGTCCAGTGCTGATTCACGACCAGTCTCATGCTCGTAACTAATAGCAACCAAGTAAACATTAATCACGTGTCATAGGTATACCACGATATACTGACGGCTTATAAACGACAGAATGTATAATACTGGAAGGTCGCGTGATTTTCTTCGGAGGGAAGGGCGCGTGTTTGTAGTATACGGCGAAGAAGTTCGCGGAATCGCAATCACAAGTACCAATAGTTATATGCTAAAGCTAGGATTAAATATGAGAATGAGCTAGGAAAGTATAAGTGTGACGTCAATCGTATGATGAAACGACTTCCGGGTCTAGAACGAAAAGCATTTCTATGAAGATTGTTCTTACTTTTACTTCGTGTCAGGATTTGTTGTGCAAAGTTCTAATTGTTTCAGGTGGAGGTTGAATTATGGAGAATATTTTCTGAGCAGTAAATACGTCATATTTTCAAAGGTCTATATAGAGCATCTGTTTACGGTACCTTAGTTGAGAAACGTAGAACTCCAGTAGTCTCTGTAACTTCTTACCCAGAGGGTAGTCTAACATATATTGCATCACACACTAAGCAGAAATATAAAATAACATTTTTAAATCACGCGTTCCGATTGGCTGGTAGCGCGTGCTTTATGAGAGCACACAGCACGCGCGCGCACTTTCAGTTGCGTCATTTCCATCTAAAATAACGGTTATTGTGAATTGTATTTTAATAAAAGAAATAAAAAACTTGATTGCTGTGCTGTGTGGAGTTATAAAGCACTTGGGAATTGGTGTCGAGAAGCACTCAGCTACGCGTCGTGCTTCTCCTAACACTTTTCTCACGTTCTGCCACAACCCCGCGTGCTTTATAACTGCACACAGCACCCACGCGCGTTTTCTATTTCTTCGATTTCTACAATAGAATTCAGCAGGCTGTTTAAAATTATTACTGTCCACATYATTTACCACTTTACCTGTCTGCACTGTTGCTGGACGGTAGGTGTGGCTCCAGTGATTGACAGCTGGGAGACTTTCTTCATGACTTCATGTATTTCTGGTACAATAAGCTTCCTGGTCAAGATGGCCTGTATAAGAAAACGTTTCGATGTTACATGCTTATCTCGTGCTTACATCATATGGCTATATTGTTCGTAAATATGAAGGAGCATCGAGTGGTTCCCGCACTATTGATGCTACATGTCATAACGAGTAACTCTTCAACAAACCATGAGTAGTACAAAGCGTTAGAGTTAGTAAGTATAGAGAGGGACTGCTGAAGACGTTGTGCTGAGAAGGATTTTGGGAGGAAATCAAAATGCTCCATAATCTCGCGTCCCCAAACTCATTCATTCCCACAATCCCATGCAGCACGCGACTGGTCGTTACACTTCGGAAATGAGTAGTGAGTGTTCACTYGTAAGAGATAAATGTTCTCAGACGATTGAATCCAGTTTTTACCCTCAGAAGAGGAAATGCAGTGCCTTGTCTTGTGTGATCATGGATGTCTTCCTCGACGAAGCCCAACAGAACCTGAAAACAGCAACATTTTTGTAGTATTAAAGACTGAAAAACAAACTTGCTTATCAAGAATKCCAACAAAATAAGATAAGAAAGGAGAATAACCTGGAGATGTTTCTCGGCGATGGTGTACTTATTGAAGTCCCGGATGATAACCGTCATGGCCTGGGAACGAGAAAACAAGAGCAAAGTCAGTTCTGCATAATATGGCTTACATTATCCGGGATGACAAAGTCAGGTCACAACTAACTCACATCAAATTTGAAGTTGTGGAGTGATGTAAGCCGGAGAACCCCGGATAAAAAACAAATCAAACCGAATCAAGGCAAGAGACCCAGCAAACTCTACTCACATGTGACGCCGACTAATAAATATCACAACTAATAATCAGTTATCAGAGAACTATTACCTTGAACGCTGACAGAACCATCTCGTAGTTTTCGCCAATTTTAGCACCAGCTGTAGCGTAGTTTTTAAGACATTTAAACAAGAGTTTGGCCATGTTTGGTACTTTTCTGGCTAGGGAGGGGAGAGGTAGCTTGATCACCACACAAACACATCGAAGACTGAGAGTCAGCACCTGAATAAAATATACAAGATGTAAAACAAAGCAACAAGAAATAGGACTGAATAGATGACAGACAGACAGACAGACAGACAGACACACCTACCTTTACATGCTTGGTCTGCATACAGTTTGACAGCACGGGTACAAAAGGATCCAGCATCTGCAGATGGCTTTGATCAGTCCCTGAAATCTTGCCTCGTTTGAGTGCTGTATTCAGCATCTACCAATCAAATCAAAGATATCAAACACATCACGTGACGTACAAACCATGTGATAGGTCACGTGCTATATCACGTGCTTGTAAGTCACTAACACGAAGTACTCATAACCAGGGTTGTTCACGTGATAAGGCACGTGTTTACAGTACTAGTAATGTTTGTTCACGTGATACGCCACGTGATTACCACACAAACACAACGACCTAAATAAAGCAATACAAGAATATAACTATCACCCCAGTACTACTGAGGTTTGATCACGTGATAAGTCACGTGCTCACCTGTAAGCCAAACTCCACTATGATATGAGCGTTTGTTTTATTACTGAGTCCAGGTGCTTTTCCGCCTCGTACTGGTGAAGGTGACAGCAGATAACAGTCAGCGGTTTTACGGCTCTTTTCCGCCTGAGAATCAGACTTATCGCTATTGGCTGCTTTATCTTTCTCTCTAAGGAAAAATAAATAAATAAATAAATAAATAAAT